GCACTCGCCGGAGGGTGACTTGGCGACCTCCAGCCTCGAACCAGCCTTGGACGCAAATCGATCACATTGCTATTAGTTACCGCTGGAGAGGCTGCATCCAGAACTGTCACTCGACTTGGAGCACATGTGTGGACACCGATCATGCACTTGTATGTGCTGACATGCGGATGTGTTTTGGCGGACGCCCACGACGCTGTGAGCACATTCACACCAGCCAACTGACAAAGCCAGTTGTTCTGAATGCCTATCAAAGTACGCTGACATGCGAGTTGAGTAATCGCTCACTGGAGACAATTGATGGTCACTGGTCACACGTTCACCAGACCTTACAAGCAGCAGGCAAATCCTCATGTGGTATGTCTAATAGCCAACATGGATATTGGGTCTCTTCGCGGTCTCTGGAACTTATCGATGCTCGCCGGTATATTCCGGCTGGAAGCGAACACAATGAAACTCACAAAGAGCTCCGGGCAAAACTCCGTGCTAGCCTGAAAAGAGACGAGAGTGGACAGCCTACACACAATTTGTCAAAACGTTTAGAGTGTTGGGCTGGGCATTTTGAAAAGCAGTTTAATCGGCCGGAATTGTTCGACTCCTCACCGTCCAGTGATCGCTCTGCTCCGTGGGCTGTCCCTCTGAATGCACCCTCTCGCTCAGACGTCAAACGTGAGATCGCACTGTTGAAGTTAAACAAAACCGCGGGACCAAATGATCTTCATCCAGCCCTCTTCAAATTCGGAGGCTCTGTTCTTGTTCATGATTTGCATGAATTACTATTGAAACGGTGGGAGCAGGAAACTGTCCTAACCGACTGGACCCGCTCCGTTATTGTTCCCATCTTCAAAGGAGGCTTACGTTCGGAATGCGGCAACCATAGAGGAAACAGTCTGATCCCCATCGCCTCCAAATTACTTGCTTCCGTAATCCTGCACAGACTGAGTGGCGCTCGTGAAAGCCAGATTTGTGAGGAGCAAGCCAGGTTTCGTCGGGATAGTGGCTGTATCGATCACATTTTCACCTTGCGTCAGTTGTTGGAGCACCGTCACATATATTGGCGGCCCACCGTAGTCGTGTTCCTCGACATCAAAGGTGCCTACGGTTCAGTTGATTAGTGAGCCCTTTGGAACTGTATACTCAGGAAAGGTGTGCCAACGAAATATGCAAATATCATCCGAGCATTATACGCGCGTAGCACGGTCAGACTGAGGGTTTACGGCAAGCTGTCGCCGCCCTTTATTATCTCCAGCGGTGTGAGACAAAGATGCCCGTTGTCACCTTTCCTCTTCAACTTCGCTATTGACCAAGTCATGGAGATCGTATTTACAGGACACGACTTAGAAGGTGTGAACCTACTCCCAGGAGAACGATTTCGTGGCTTAGAGTAGGCAGATGGCATTGTCCTCATTTGTGACAGCTCCCAGACGGGCCAAACTGCACTGCACAGATTAGCACTGGCTATCAGCCGCATCAGGATTTGCTTTGCACTATCGAGTTGCAAAGCTTTCTTCCAAGACTGGCCTGAATCGCCGCCTTCGCTGACCCTTTGTGGGGATCAGCTAGAAGTTGTTCAGAAATTCAACTATCTGGGAAGTTTTATCAGCGCGCTTGGGATCGACGATGAGATCACGAACCGTATATCAAAAGCTCGAGGTACTTTTGCTAGTATTCGCCACCTATGGCGGCGTAGCGACATCACTCTCCTCCTGAAGGGTAGAGTGTACAATGCAGCGGTACGTTCGACCTTACTGTACGGTTGCGAAACCTGGCCCCTTAGATCAGCGGACATAAAGAGGTTAGTTACGTTCGACCATCGGTGCCTTCGCAGTTTGGCTCACATCTGGCGGGAACACCGGGTAAGCGACGAGCGTGTTCGACGCCTTGTTTACAGCAGAGGAAAAAGAAACAGAACCGCCCAGCACCATCATTTCACGCGCTAGGCTCCGATGGTTCGACCATATGTTGCGCATGCCAGCCCATTGACTTCCGCGACGTGCGTTGTTTGCTTACTGGGGGTGTAGATGGAAGAAGAGAAGGGCTGGCCAAGTGATGATTTGGTCGAGAGGAATGAAGATCATCACTTCTGAGCTGGTCTCGGTTGGAGCTTCACGGCTCCCTGGTTGGGGTCCAAAAGACGATAAACACGTTTGGCTAGATACACTTTCTGACATGGTTAAGAACCGACCTCAATGGCGTTCCTTCTGTGAGTTTCCTTGTCCCCCCCCGTCTCTTTTAGCCCCCTCATTACCACGACTTCATTTCGTAGCGTAATATAATTTTACATAATAATTTTTCTTGTTGCCTAGTAGCCGGCTGGTAGCTTTCTGAAAAGATGCCCATCTGTTGCAGGTAGCTCAGCTGGCTTGAACCTGTTGCATTTATGTTATATTTTTCTTTTATGTATTACATCACAGGTGCTTTATACCTCTAGGTAACATGTAATGAATGATGAGTGAATGATAGTCGCACATTCGTCAAACGTCATTATCAGCGGGCATGTCTTCATGTGTCAAATCAAATTGCCAACCTAGACATTTGGACTCTACAAAGTCTCTGGAACTTATGGATGCTCGCAGATGTATTCCGACTGGAAGCGAATACAATGACACTCGCAAAATTCTCAGGGCAAAACTTTGTGCTAGCCTAAAGAGAGGCCGTGAAGCTTGGTGGTCTCATCGTGCATCGGAAATGAAAACAGCCGCTGCCGTTGATAATCATCGTAAGTTATTCCGTCTGATACGGGAAACAGGCAGCAGGAGACCTGGTGTTAGCGAGACAATACGCCACGAAAGTGGACATACGATCCACATTTTGTCAAAATGCTTAGAGCGTTGGGCCGAACACTTTGCAAGGCAGTTTAACCAATCTGAGTTATCGCTTTCTTTTTCGGGCATTGAGTGTCCTTCTTCATGGGCCGTCACCTTAGATCCACCGTCACGCGCAGAAGTCGAACGTGAGATCAGGCTGTTGAAACTGTATAAGGCCGCAGGGGCAGGTAGAATCCCCCAGCCTTCTTCAAATTCGGGGGACCTGCTCTTATAGACGATTTACACTAATTCCTAGTGGAACTTTGGCAGCAGGAAACTGTCCCGACAGACTGGAGTCGCTCCGCCATTGTCCCAATTTTCAAGGGAGGCTCCCGTTCGGAATGCGACAATCACAGAGGGATCAGTCTGATCTCAATTGCTTCTAAATTGCTTGCGTCTATCTTTCTCCACAGACTGAGTGGCGCTCGTGAAAGCCAGGTCCGCGAAGAGCAAGCCAAGTTTCGTCAAGGTCGGGATTGCAACGACTATATCTTCACATTGCGTCAATTGTTGGAGCACCGCCATGTTTATTGGCGACCCACCGTTGTGTTTCTTGACATAAAAGGTGCCTTCGACTCAGTCGGTCGATGTGCCCTTTGGTACTCTGCTGAGAAAAGGTGTGTCTGATAAATGCGTAAACATTATTAAAGCGCTGTACGCGCATATTTCTGATAGATTGAGAGTTTTTGGCAAACTGTCACCGCCCTTCAGTACCTCCAGCGGTGTGAGACAAGGTTGCCGATTGTCACCTTTCTCATTTAAGGCCGCTATTGACGAATTCATGGAAACAGCATTTGCTGGACACGATCTAGAAGGTGTGGAGCCACTTCCTGGTGATCGACTTCTTGATTTGGAGTATGCAGACAATATTGCTCTTACCTGTGACAGCTCCCAAACATGCGAAGCAGCACTGGACCGATTAGCACTGGCTGTCAATCATTTTGGGCTATGCTTTGCTCCATCGGAACGCAAAGTACTTCTCCAAGATTGGCATGAACCCACCCCTGCGCTGACCCTCGTTCGCGATCAGCTAGAAGTCGTTCAGGAATTCAAGTACCTGAGCAGCTACTTTTCTCCTGGGTGATCGAAGATGAGATTACGAACGATTTATCAAAAGCTCGAGGTGCTTTTGCCAATCTCCGCCACCTGTGGAACAGACGCGACATTACTCTTGCCCTGAAGGGCAGAGTTTATAACGCAGCCATCCGTTCAACTCTCCTATGTGAAACCTGACCCATCAGGTCAACAGAGATAAAGAGGCTCGTCACATTCGATCATCGTTGCCTTCGCAACTTAGCTCGCGTCTGGTGGGAGCACCGCGTGAGCAATGAGCGTGTTCGGCGTCGCGTATTTGGTGGGGGAAGAGCGAGTGAACTGCTCAAGACTATTATATCATGCACCAGGCTCCGATGGCTGGACCACGTGTTGCGCATGCTAGCACACCGACTTCCGCGACGTGCATTGTTTGCGTACCTTGCGTGCGGTCGGAAGAGGAGGAGGGGAGGCCAAGTGATGTCTTGGTCGAGAGGAGTGAAAACGTGCACTTCGGAACTGGCGTCGATTGGTGCATCCTGACTGGGGACCGAAGGACGATGAACATGTTTGGTTGAATTCACTTGCTGACATGGTAAAGAGCCGGTGCCAGTGGTATTTTTTTGTGTTTATTATTCCATCCCCTCCCTTTAGGTTCTTCCTCCATCCCAAGCTCATGCAAAAGGCGTGATATATTATTTAACATCATATTTTTGTAGTATAATTTTTTAATATCTTTTTGAATTGCGGCAAATTAGCTGAGGTCTGTTTCTCACCCTCAGCTAACGTGTACTGATGATGTTGAGGAGCAGGCAGATGCCACCTAACCAGCAGCTTAAGCCACTGAGCCATGGGGGACGTCGGCTGGACTACACAATTTGCAAGCTAACTGGGATATAGCACGACCTGTCTTCCACTGCCACGCAGGTTACTACCTTAGCAGATGACAGTGGCCAGTTTACGAATGTCATGACTTCTTCTCACTAGGCGCTACGTACATAGCATTTGAAACTTAAGTCTACATTTTTTGAAATCCTCATTAGTAATATAATATAGACTTTATATATACTGATTCGCATACTTGAGCTATTGAAACATCTCCTATTTCCGCCCGCCATCAACTCTTCCATCACTGATATCCTCCTTTGTGTTTTGATTATGAAGGCGCGACACAGCATTGTCACTGCTTCAGGAATACTTCGCGACTGCTCTCCTTCGGTTGAGTTTGCTTGAGTGCTTTCATGATCCCTTCGACTTTGGTGAGTCTCCTCCCATCCCTGGCAGCAGTTTTTTGCTCAATATGTTAAAAAGTGTTGGTATGTTGTTCCGTTTACTTTGCTTGAGCTTTTAACTAGAACCGAAAATTCCGCCACTTCACTTTTTTTGCCAAATCCGTCCGCTCACTGCTATTTCCATCTGCACCCGACTGAAGGAGCATTCCATGGCTGCATGTGTTCACTCATCTTACTCGAATTGTGCTCGGTGGATCTCCTCAACCAAAATGTGGGCGCGTTATTCCGATGAGTTTCCATCCGCGGTGCAGTAGCTTCTGCTAAAGCGTATTGTTTACATTCTGACCGCAGTATAACCCGGATATTCTAGCTTGGCATTTGTTTACCTTTAGATGTCTCGCCGTGGGGTTGTAGGCGATTGGGCAAAGTCTACTCCCATATTGGCGTTATTATCCACTGGGACGAAAACAATTCCTCACTGCAGACCGGACGATTGCATCGAAAGTCGTGGAGGGCTAATGTTGACGTGCTTATTCTAACCACGGTTGGCGTTAAATGCCCTCTCCCATCTTAGTGTTCTGAATGCTAACGATCTGTGCTGTCTCGGGTAGTTCATAATTCACGGCATCGATCGCTAGTGACTCAACACAAGCTAAGAGGCCTCATACAAGACGAGGGTGCCTACCTTTCCTCATGGCACCCGGTTGAGTAGACCCCACGTTCTACACCAGTGTGCTCACACAACTATCGTGTTTCGGTCTATTGCATTCTTCGATATCCTATTTTTGCTTTATCTGTTGACCAATTATTTCATTCCCAACCTTTTTGAACCGTTCGATTAGACCCCCAGTGTCAGACATTCTCGATTCCTCAGTTATCACGAAAGTGATTGAAGTTTGAGTGGCATAATTTGAATTCAGCGCGTCCACGCCAGGTCATACAATTATCACTCATCCTGATAAACACCGAACAGCCAATTCACTCTTTCGGGAGTCGTCAATAGCGCTCGTTCCATCTAACCTTTGTCGGCTAGAACTCGAGACACGTTTCTTTTCATTTCATGGTTAAGAGTACCAGGCGAAGACGGATAAGTAGCAGTCGCCGCGCATGGCAGCATTAGATGAGTACGCGCTTGATAAAACGGATGCCTGAATGTGCGCCTTGTAAATAGCACCTTTGTTAGCGAAACTCGGAAATGCAACATCGTGTTTATTCATTTTTTGTTCCATTCCCTCCGCCTTGCTTTTAATCTGTAGAAACCACCTGGGAACTGTGCACTCGGTTTGCACCAGCCGAGACTCATCCAGATAACGTAAGTCAGTTGCGTTTTGCCAACCCCGGGAAGCCCTCTGGCTTCTTATTTTGGTCAAAAGTTGGTTTTCGCTCTTTAGCTGTGTCAGTTCTCCGAGGACCGCTTCGCATGAGGCTATCCGCCTCGTTGCTCGGCATAATATCACGAAATCCTAACCGTCAGTCTTGGGTAAATCAATTTGTCCACTCGTCCCTTATGCCCTTTAAAGTCTCCATCTCTGTTAACGCACTAGAGATCGGACTAGCTTTTGTGATAGACTCACGAATTCCACTATTTCAATGTGTGATTTGTAACTATGAATTCACTTTTTCTTAAATGCGACCTGGTTTTACAGCATCACAACTGTAATCGATAAACTGCACCGTAAGATTCGCTATTGTCCTATCAGTTTTGCTTCACTTAGATGAACCTGTTGTCCCAACATATCCCGCGATACTATATTTCCCTCTAAATGCTACTTTATTTAGGGTGTTAACCTCTGAGGTGCCTCAGATTCCTCCAGTTACGTTTAGAAGGGTACCGGCAGATTCACCGCGTCTTGATGAGGATTCCTTCTTGCTTAAAGCTCCCTTGGCGTGAAACACCCATGCCCCTTTATTCTACTCTATCCTATATTGTATTCGACTGACCTACCGCTGAATGGCTTTTTATAATGAATACTCCTCACTGTATCTATAGGTATCGTTTACACTCAGTTAAAGCGGTAGAATATGGATCACCAATCGAGTCTTTCGATCCCTGTTCCTAGTCCCACTCATTACTGGCACTAATTCGATCACTTTCGCTCTATGCTGCACAGCACTTTTTACGATGCTCCTATTCACTTTTCTCGCATTTCAGTGACACATGAGCACAATTAATTCCACTCTAGGGCAATTTTTTTAAAGAGTCACGTTCCTATGTTTTCCTTCTCCCTTCGTCGTCGTGTCACATTTGTTGTGTCGGGTCCCGTAACTGCTTCCGCAGGTTACTGGTAGTGAAAACACGAGCCAGCAGGAACAGAATCTATAGTACTTTTCAGAGGAAAACGGCACGGTTTTATTCCGTGATGCGTTGCTGTAAAAATCAACCGGAGCACTGAAAACGTGCGAGAAGACAAAACCAATAAAGGCCAGTTAGATGAACACGCAATCCAACCACACGGCGGGTACTCCAACTTTGAATTCATTACCGCTGTGCCAAGCGTCGCTCACAGATCTTAGTGGCATAGTGATCAATGCGTCAGCCGTGAACCACTAGGGCTCGTGTTTCACCTTAGCTCAAACTATCACCATCTGATGAGTCCAAATGAGGACGAAACTAGTCACGGGGTGTCAGTGTTGGGAAGAACAACATCCAAACACCTCCATTTCGGATACGCTCCTTGTGATCAGCATGACCGAGGTCTCAAAAGTGATTGCGTGTCGCAATCCATCCACACGGCGGGTAGTCCAACTTTGAACATAAGAAAAGGAAAGTGGAAGCGTTCACATCGGATTTGAACTGTAATTCGCACCCACAGTCAACGAAATGATAAGTTAAAGTAGGCGTCAGCGAATAAACACAGCAAAACACAACTCTGCAATCACTGAGCTGCATAAGCAGACAGGAATTTTTATCGTTTGGCTAACAACAATGTTCATGAGTCTATCCACAGTAGATACTTTGCTGAGCCTACTTCGACGTAATGCCGAAGTGCTTGCGACGTAGTATACCACCCCTAACCATTTTCGCCGCATTATGGGGAAATAGAGCAAGAGGGCATGCAGTAGCGAGCGAAGGTGAAAAATTTATGTTCGCGACCTCGGATTCTTTCCTCGCTTGATTGACAACCTGTGATACAATATCTACTGGCACCTTTTTCAGAGAGACATTCTAGGAATAACAGCAAACTTCGTCTCTCTCACAGCTATTTGGTGTTTTGTGCTGTACTTTATACTTGTTCCAGTGGCTGCTGCACTGCACATTGCAGAAAAGCTGTTTCTTTTCTTCTGGTTATCAGACTACTTGAATGGAAAAAAACAGATTAGAGTGTTGCAGTCTGGAGATTCCCCGGTTTGCCTGCGTAAAATACTCAATAAAATTATTGTTTCGTTGTGCCCTTAAGCGCCTGATGCGCATTGTTGAACTGAATTCGATTGTTTGGGTTAAGCATCGCTATTTTTGCCTGGCGCTCGCTTCGAATGCAACGCGCAATCGCCTTTTATACTGTGCATTTTACGTTCCCCTAGCTAGCAGCATTCAACGGTGTCGGTTTTATTGCTAGGCAAACAAGGAACCTTTTGTTGTACAAATAAGTTTCCCTGCAACCCAATCTGCCTATTGGAATCACTATCCGGGCTCTCGCTAAAATAGCACTACCTCCTTGTTGTTCAGTTGGATGCGTTAATTTTATGCTAACAAGGAATTAAATTGTGGCGCATTGTGTCACAACGGACCAGGAAGATTGTTGTCAGCCACTCTGTTCTCGGTCTCACAACCTTCCCACTGTGTCAACCGGTGTTCATCTCTGCGGTGATCGTGGGCACGACAAATCTTCCGAAACATTTTTACACACAGGTATTTCGGTCGTTAGTGGTGAAGAGTCGAAATGTCTAGTCCAATTTCACCCGCTGCACAATTTCATGGGAGAGACATATACTTGTCTCTGTATGCAGCGGAGTTCTTTATTCTTATTGAGTAAATACAGCCACCAGCAGCTCCTCGTACTGCGGGGAAATTGTCTAACATTGTAAGCGAATGGTTGGGAGTCCAGAGGCTTAGATATTCTAAGCCACTCTGTTGTACCTTATCGTAATGCTTACGAAACACTGCGCTCCATCTCTTTCCACTTGCATTCTTCGTACGGTATGCAGACACTTTACAACTTGTCTCTTTGTAAGGCACACGGTTCACTGTCGGATCGAAGCAACGTCGCATGAGAGCATTGCAGCTATGCTTGTTTCTCCACTTTTTCGCACGATTATCCCACCTTACTACGCGAACTACTTCCACAGAAAATTTTTCGCTTAGCTGTTATTTTTTCGTTGCCGCGGTGCTTATGGGACCCAGCAGTATGATGACACCAAGCGGAAGTTCTTCGTTTCTCACTCTTTGCTTCTCTCTAGGCTCAGATTTGTGCCATACTCACGATGCTCTTCGAAATTGAATTTGAACGTATGCGGATTATGAAGATGGTTCAAACATTTGCGACATTACGGTGTTATTCACTTTCAACACTGCGCCCCACGACTGGTTTCGTCCTCGTTTGGGCTCATCAAGTAGAGACAGCCGGAGCTGGGGATGAAACTCGAGCTGTAATGGGTGACGTCTCACATCTTGAACTTTAAGCCACCGGGATCCGTGTTGAGAGTGAATGACGCTAAAAACCACTTCTGGTAGAGTTTCGGACGTTTTGCGTTGGAATTTAAAGACACTAGGTACTCGAAACTCAACTATGAAACCACTTCATCTCAGCATCTTGGAAAATACTTGGAACCGATCGAGAACTCATGATTTCAGAAAGGTTTGAAAACAACCGGTTGGTATAGTTTGTGGGCAACGTTTCGCTTTTGAGACAAAAGCTTCGTCAAGCCGAGTGAACCATTCGAGGATTGTTATAGCACTTATAGCGAACTGGGATGATAATCGCGACGAATGGGATTTAGGCCGAAGGTTAATCGCCTTACACCACAATGCATTAATCCAAATAGTGCATGGTATGTTCACAAGTGGTTCGCGCTACAAAGTCACACACGTAAGTCCTGTTAACGATGGGTGCGGGGATGATGTGATGTTCCTTCTCTGCTCAGTTGGCTATAATTCCTATACCAATCCTCGACTGGTTCACTCGGCTTGACGAAGCTTTTGTCTCAAAAGCGAGACGTTGCCCACAAACCTCTTCATCTCCTTCGCTGTCCGTATCATAGCTCCCTGGATGTTCAGCCAACAACCACTAAATCGTCTCCATTATGTGAATGTCTGTGAATGAACATCCTTTGGAAATTGAGGGAATGGAATGTACATATGCTTATAGTGAATTACGATGGCTTCACATCGAGAGTTGCATTCAGATGCATTGCCAATCGGAGATAAGACCCTCGTGGAGCACGGTCACACATTAGTCGACATCATCAATCAGTGACGAGTAATCGTGTGATCGAGTACCTTCCTCTTGGCTAAATTGAAATACAATTAGGTACGACATGCCATCCATTTGGTTAGGTTGCTTGGTATCCCATAGATGTGCCGAAGCTTTCTAAACGTCCACTTGACCTGAACTGAATAATTGTACCATCCAAGGTGGCCTAAGCTAACACCATTCGAGCGACAGTGCTCGGGTTTGCTGTTGGAACAGCGGCACATATTCGATCGGTGTCAATGTGCAAGAACATCTCCACGCTCCTCATGCTATCTGCCAGTAACAGACCGTGGATTGATACAGCTGAATACGCTATCATATATCCGTATTCCGCCGAGATTGCGGAACTCACATATCTGCGGTTGTGGCAAATTACCGTTTTTCTTTCTTTGAAGGCGACAGTAAATGACCAAAATCAGGACTGATCTATTGATGTCATCAACCGTTCCTCTAAAATCAAACAGCGATCCGTAGGGTTCCTACAATTGAATCCCATTGTAAGCCATGGACGATATTATACCATCTTTTGAAACAGCATCTAGGTTGTAGTTTGTGTTTCCATAAAGTGGGTTAGATTTTAACATTGAGGTTTCTAGGTTCTGCCGCCATCATCTCCCACCTCGCTTGACAACATTGGTGTATTCTTCACGTTTTTTTCAAAGAATATGCTTGAACTGCTATTTATCCTCAACATTTTAGATCGGATCAGTGTCTTGGGTGCCAAAGGACTGTATTGAGCATAACGATGCTCAAAAATTGACCCTAGTTCCAGTGAAATCGTTTTATAATGATCACATTCAAGTGAGTTCGTGGCATCAGTTCTCTTATCTGGCCTTTTCAGTTACAGCTGTTTCTGGAGCAGCGCTCACGAGATTCAGCTACGGTCGGTCAACGGTCGCACTGAGTTGTTTCTCTACCACTGACCTTCTCGATGTTATCACTGTTTTTGAATTGTTTTAGTTTTTTCAGAAGAAATTTGATTGTTTATCATGCCTGTATTTTTACAGAAAACGAAATCGCTTTGGAGATTGTTCGGTCTGTCTTGTAAGCGTCCACACTTGTTATCTTGGCACAATGCACGGAATTTCTATGACTTTCGATGCATTGCCTGTGTCGGCCGTACGGACACTCACGTGGAACACTCCGAATCCCACACAAGCTGCTCCGTAATCACCACTGGCGGTCAGTGCGACCAATGCACCACTCCAAGTCCCAGGCTAAATAAGGTGAAAATGGCAATCGGAGTGATGCGATTTTACGGTAACTAGAAGGTCATTAGACTCAGTGCCAGTCAAAAAGGAACCTTTCACATGATTAACTTCTAATAAGCAAATTTTGTTATCACGAGTCTGAAAACTTAAAGTATTAAACAGCGGGCGATCGTTACACAACTAATGCAACTACCAAGCCCGAGACAGGTGGATCCTCAGGCAGAATTCTACTCACCGCGTTCTGATGAGCTTTAGGCTGGATTTGAATCACCGTATGTATACACTATGACTACGCTAATTGGCATGTTAAGATGTTCCCATTTTGTGAAATTTTGGCCTAAATATGGAATCCCCTAGGTTTTTTATAACTTGAAGGCACCTCATCATCAATCGATTCTTCTGTCGCTGGATTCAATCAACCCCAGATTGTTTTGGGTCATTCTCAACCAGCAACGTTAGTCATGTGCCGCTTACCAGTTGAAACTCCTATTTCACCAGCAATTTGTGTGATACGCTTTGCTGTTTAACGACACCATTTCTGCCCGTAATCTACTGCATCAGCAGCCAAATCTTTTCGGTTTGTGTGTGCGGTGTCTGCACATAGCCTGCATTGCTTAGTAGTGTGCGCTCACGTGCTGCTCACACTTTCCGCTATCGAAAATGTGCTTACCGGTGCAGCCACTGTGGTAATTGCTGGTCGTTTGAGCGAGGCTGACCAATGGGTTGTGGGCAGCCAGGAGTCCAATCAATCCTAGCCAACGCAAACTGATCATGTGTGAACGAATCAGAGAGGTGAACTAGGATCGGCTCATCCTAGAAGGAACAAAGCACAGCTTTATCGCTACGACGGAAAGCATTGGCTGGAATAGCCATGAGCGGACTAAGTATATGTATGTGCTGGCCCGACACACAGGAGAGCTGACGCGACCAAACATGACCCAATGCGGATAACGCAGACAGAACAGAATTCGATTGATGCGAGAAGAACGTATGTACCCATGAACACAGACAAGTTGCGAAAGACGCAACAAATGGAATTAACCAATGTGAAAACGTCGCAACCAAAGAGCGCCCTCTACTTATACGCACTATAAATAATGCTTTGCTTCACAACTAACAAGTTTTGATTATTGCCCAGACTTTATTTTGACTTTTGGGGGCTACACAATATGGTGACAGGAGCGAAGTCGAGAAGCCGGACCCCGCTCGCTTTACGTGGACAGCCGTCGATTCCACTGCCGACCGTACTGCAGCTGACGGAAAGTGCGCTACTGGACAACTGCAGGATATGAAAGACGAAGTGGATGGGATGTTACGCTGACCCAGTTGGATACCCATCCGATGCAATGTCAATTGGCTAAGTTTTTACGCGTTATCGGATGGGGATTCACATATTGTAGCAAGAACGAAGCTGCAAGAGAGCACGATGGTTCAACAATCTGCACGCATGCGCGCATATATGGGCGATGTTTCCGTCCCACAACGCAACATGCATGGGAATTACTACATTTCACATTCGTGCATCGTTTGTACGCAACTTCGTGGGGGCATAGATTGCCTGTCTGACCCCGTATCTTTGCTTCGATGGCATGCATTCTGATCAGCCTAGAGTTGTCCTAAGGCTATTGCTTTGCTTGATCGCAGTTGCCTTATTCGGCTTTGGGTTACTCCTGTATGCATCGACAAAGGCGTTTCTGTCTGATTTATTGGTCTTTTGACAGATCCTCTCTCTGCTCCCCTTGGCTCAGGCCCGTTACCGTTCGTTGCTCGCAATCCCCTCGTTTTGTTCGGCTCTCGTTGCGCCGTCTTACCTTGTCCATGATGTCTGTGACTGTTTCGGTCCTAGCTCGTTCTAGTGGCTCTCCGGTCTTCCGCGTGACCGTTACCTTCCGCGCCACTACAGTATGATGGCTTCCCTACCATGCCACCACACTAGTCTCTCATCGAGTTAACTTCGAATGCTCTCGGTACGACCGCCCTGAAGGGCGAAGTGTGTTATCACTTTGTTTCGGTTGGGAGTGCCTCATTAATCGATAAAGTATGTGAGCTTGACGGATGGGCCGCGCACACTTGCGCCAATCTATTTGAGTCGCTCTGCTGTGCAACAGCACACTTACCCGATGTGACGCAGAGCACTGTCTCATCTATATCCCCGGAATGTGGTTTAATGTCTTACTTGCAGTGAAGATTCACCCTCCGCATTGCATTCCTTATACTTTTGTGCGTTAAGCAGAGCTTCGCATTCAGTTATGGACTCACCAATGAAAAATACAAAGCCACCCTGAAGTAAGACTAAGTATTAATTGGCCTTGTTAAAGTGGATAACCCGACCTCCGTCTATGGAGTTGCGCGTACCGACATTACGATTCTAACATGGTACGGCTTGGAAACTAACCAACAGAAACTGAGGTCCCACCGGAAGTGGCTATTCGGTTTTGAGTACTTTTAGTCCGAGCACTGGTAGTATTTGTGCCCTTTCGTCGAGTTTGCTAACTCGGCTACGCCAACATATGTTGATAATAAATTGTATGGTCCCTCTAGTATTCTTCCATACCTAAATAACCACTTAACTAGATCTGGGATGTCCGTTCCTAAATTCCCAGCCGGATTGAAAGGCAGCTGTGTGGCTACGCATCTATCTGACAGATCTTACCGATGTGTCTAAAGTATACCGAGTTGAATTCAATGCGCTCCAATCTGGGCTATTCCGTCAATGTTCTAAGTTGCAGTAGATAAGTTGAAAATATCCTCCTGATATTTCACTGCACATATCTACTCCGCCGCCGTCCGCCTCTGACTGCGCCTACACGGTCTCCCACCCTTCCTCCATTTTCCCTTCCGCTAAGCTGCAGCATCACCTCAGGCCTCTTTTATTACTCAGAGACTTGTTAAATATTACTATATGCTCTATAGTGCTACAGTATATTTACATTAGTTCCATTTTAGTCAAATGGCTCTTGCTGCAAACTAAAATACAATCAATACTTCACTACATCACCTGGACCCAACAAAATGTGTTTACGCTGTTCATGTTTAGCACAAAAAGACACTTCGTCGGGCACTGCACCAGCAACCTGACACTCACCTGCTTCACAGTCAAAAGGCTTTCCTCACAAGCCTTCTTCGGGCTAAGCCCTTCTTTCATCCGTTGTACCGTTTGGAAGCTGAGTAGAAAGCGCATCATCACGTCTCCATCGCCAGTGCCGACAGCACCACCAACCTGAAAATGTGTTGCATGATAAGAGGAGCAATTACCCGGATAGCATCGTTCGAACTCTCGTCAGTTCAAATGTCAAACTCAGGTTCTTGTTGCACTGATACTTCTCCTCGGTAAGACTGGCATGCAGACATTTTGGCCGACTATGCATAACTATATTGTTGTTCTGACAACCTCGATGTCAGATACTGCCGGTGCCTTTTCAAACCGTGAGTTAATCATCGGCACAAATGCGTGACCTGGTGTTGCTTGATGAAACTAGCAACTTGCCTACAAGAATCATCAGACAGCTAGTACCAGCACCAGAAAAACACGGGGCGTTTAATCTGAAGAGTTTCGGGGCTGCTCTCTCCAATGCTGCAGTTAAAGAACAATTGCGTCCTTATTTGGGTGCAGTGGGGGTCCGACACAGTGTGGTTGACGGCTTACGCTCCGATCACTAGGTCAGAGCTGCGCGAGCACTGTTTGCCGCAGCGGTTGGAAGTTCATTGTTGGGTCCTGGAATAAACCGTAGCCCCATTTGGGATTTGATGTCGCATTCCAGATATACGTTGGTTACTCTGACGTTTGACCTGTTCTTAAGTGTTAGAATTCACACCTCTAATCTATAACCTAAAAGTCTTGTAGTCAATTTGGGTTTCTTTAATGTAAGACATAGTAGTGTAATTGGGTGCACTATCCCACCCGTAGCCGTAGTCCTGCATATGCTCCGCGTAATTTTTGTGTGGCTACGCACGTGGTCTTGGTCTGTCACATCCGCCGAGATCACGTTTCTGATTGTGCTTGTGCTCTACACCCGTCAGCTGTGCAGGTGTTAATTAATGGGATGTCGAATTCCACCAGTTAATCGTTTCCATATTTCTCGTAACATCTTGTCGCTACAGCAACCGATCGAAAGCCAACAACCGTTTCGAACCGCCATCCTCTTCTACACCACTCCGTCTAAACAAAAAAATCAGTACGGTTCACATAGGTATGTTTTCATGCAATGCCGAGAGTTGTTCGTGGCAAATTTGTCTTCGACTAGTTCAGTGCACTATTCGAACCTCCTAGAGAGAACAGATGTGGTGTTGACCACCTATGTCTATCCCTTAGTTTGAATGCAGTGGTGACGGATGATACCTGTCAACTCTTGGAGAGTTATTGGCCGATGCATCTAAAGAGCGATAGTTGTACGCAGTAGTACTTCCTTGAGGCTTCTTACGTTCGGCTGCACATCGTCTCTGGAGTGGAATATTGTTCACTTACAATTCAACATGTGGAATCTCTCATTCCACATTCGTTGTGCTTTGGAGATCTGCTGTGGAGTTCATATAGTTCCGATAGAATTTGTCCAAAGGGAAGTTATTCACTGACTTTTCAACAAATTTTATTCCAACACATGCACCAGGCATCCTGTTTTTTTTAAGCTGAATATCACCTTACCGAACAGCCACTCTACAAGACACCATAAAACAGCTGAATAGAATTAAGGCTGAAAATCCTGCTATTATTTTCTATTACCCTCATTTGTACCATTTGACCTAACCATTTACATCGTGTTTTTCTACCCGCCACAGAACATTTACGTCCAGGCTAGGACAAATTCAGTTTGGCAACCGGTCTCACATGCACAACTTTGACGGTCTTACACGTGCTTCGGCTTATCGCATTAGTCTGCTCAATGATCACTTCTCTGCATAGCTCCCTGATCATAGCTACTACATAACCTCTCTAAAATCTTCGTCTGCTGTGTCCGCATCACACATGGAGGACGTTTTCATCAGTAAGACACACTTACCCGATTGTCCACGTAGCCACCAGCGCCTGGAATGGGTGTGTCTCCAACTCGACCGGGTATCTTGTGGATCGCGCCGCTAGTGGATAGCCCAACAGCCATTGAGCCGTAGTGGTCAATCGCAATCAATCCGATGGTGTCGTGCTGATTGCGGTCCACCGTATACGTTGGTCTGAACCCCTCCGGTACACGTGGCTGATCCACTGCATGGGAGATGATAGGCAGTCCGATGTTAAAATAACTATCAACTCAACGTTCCGCACATCATTCTAGTAAACACTATGAATCTACCGGTGAGCCCTTAACTAGGCACATAAGCAAACATAGGTCAGAGCAGAATAGGGTGCACGAAATTGCTCGAGGCAGTGGCGGTTTTTATGCCCTGTGTCTCAAACAACCTTCCATTGGATATTCTGTAAACGTCGGCCGTTGGCCGAAAGGATTGCGCGCCTGAGTTGCAATCCTGTGATTAACGGTTCAAAACTGGGCGACCTTGTGGTATACTCAACCCTTGCGTAACTTGTGGTGGTCGCATCGCAACGAATCGTCGGTTTAGTGTGCCGGCGTACTTCTGGTGCTTTACTTCGTAATCACTACGAGAGCAACAGATGTCGTTTTGATCAGTGAAAAAAACTTTCCTGAATTAAAAGCATGCGTTTTCTGGTTGAAAGCAGCTCTAAGCCTCAGTATCCTGAGGTCATCTTGCGTACACACGTTTTTGCAGTTCTCAACCGAGTACCTGAATTGCATCTAGCATTATCGGATTTCGCTGTAAACTTCCTATCGATCGGTGTACACTAAGATAACCGTTAAAGCCCCGTGAGTAAGCGCTTTTACGCCCCTAACCTTTCCAGTAAGGCATTTTAGAAGAATTTCGGTTACTCAGAACATTTTTTCACGTAGCCCTAACATATGTCGTAAATGTAATCTCCTGTTTGTAAATATTGTCCATTCTCATCAAAAATCGATTCCAATAGTGTCATAACCCGATACCGAAGACGTAGAACCACACAGAATTTTTATGACAAAATATGCGTTTCATTGGGATGGTCAGGAGCACAAGAATCGGTCACTCAACGGTAGTCTATCGAGCACAACCTAACTAAAAGTAACGGCTTATATGTTAGCCCCGGTGGTGTTAACGATGTACTATAATGTTTAATTCATGTCTGGACACATTGCACTATTTGATTTTTCGTTTTTCTTCATAATCTATACGAGTGGCCGAAAACGACGAAACAGGACAGCTGGCGGTCCACCTGTGTCGACCGGAAGTTCTGTTTGCGCCTCAGTTCATAACACATGCTATACACCGCTAGCGGGTGCCTAGAACGGCTATCCCATTCGTTATAAATAAATAAATAAATAGTTTATTCTCAGTTTCACAGAGACACACCAACGCAGGCATGTAACCGGGGTGGATGGATCACGGCGCTAACCGTTGCATCGAGGACAAAGCTTGACTAAGATTGAGCAATTTTGGCAGATTTCAATGTTCTGTTACTTTTCACTACAAATCGTGTGTGATACAGCCGGTTCTAATACACAGACCAAATTGTTTACACTGCTGCTCTGTTGGGAAAATCATTCACTTCTGTGACTGCTGAACTCAGTGGGCCATCTTCACACACAACTGTCTGTCATCAAAAGCATTCCAATGACCCTATTTTGTATTCTTGACACCTATGCAACCGCAATTTGTGTTGTCACATCATTCTGGTTAATGGGGACTCACCTTCATAATTCGGCCTGTAAGGTCCACAGCCTTTGGTCGGATCCGGTATCCATTGTCCCTCTTTTCTGTAGTTGGGTTGACATCTGTTCGAACGCCACTGTTTCCATACTTCACGCGATTCTGGTGTGTCCAGTGATTGAACTTTGAATCCACGCGATTTTGCAAACTCCGTGGCATATTTCCCCACAAGTAATGTGTGTTTGGTTGAGGCGAGCACTTCAAAAGCTACTTGAGCAGCTTCTCTGATATCTGGCATACTCGCCACGGCGCCAACCTGCGAACGGTGAGTGGGTTATGACTGTGAATACTACCATATGCGAATGCGTGAAAATAGCCCCACAAATTCACAGTACATTTCGCATGCTTATGCATCTCCGCTGCACTGGTTCATAAATAGCTGCGTGTGGACTGCCACCAGTGTACTTTTTGATACTAATTCTAGAAAATATTGGCATTTGAATATATGTTGATTAGTAGTAAAAAATCCCGTTGGATGATTAAAAGCCGATGCAAGTGAACATGTTTTCAATAATTATTGAAAACATATGTTCGCTTGCATCGACTTTTAATAGTTGATTAGGCTTTTATGAAACGCAATTACGGCACTCGTTTTCATAGCTGCTCGTCACAATGCCTGCAATAATTCGCGGAGCATCAGCCCCCACAATTAAACCGCACGCGACCCGCAATCATCATCCACACGCATACAGAGGAAGGGGATCGGTAAACATGTCAGTAGGTGACGAGTGTTCGGGAATTGGCCCACACCACACATCGTGTACCGAAGTATCCCAAGATCATGACACCACTCCGAAGGAATGGAACAATGGTACGGACAAAATAGCGGATGCTTAGTAAGTCCCGTAGGATGGTCAGAAAGAGAACCACACCATGGTGAATAGATAACAAATGGAGAAAATGAAAATCGTTTTGGTGGACTCACCACAGTTTTAACACAGAGGCATGCAAAAAGGGCCAATCTCAGTCGTGTAGGTTAATCCTGGTTGTGCAACTTTCGTCGCATTATATCGTCTGTCGAGACGCATAGGCTGTGTCGTAATGCCAAGGTGTTCTTTAAACACAAGTAAAGTGGGGGCGGAAACAACGTAATTTGGGAGAGCGTTCCATGGCTAGCACACAAGAAGAGAGTAAAACTTCCGTCGACATTCTAGCCGACTGTATTGCGTGGCTAACTTGAACTGGTGGCCCCTCAAATTCGTCTTGTGGCTCAGTTGTAGTAGGTGGCGGCAGACGTGGTTGGGGTTCCTTAGAATCTGATAAGCCATAACAAGGTCGCTATGTAGGCGCCGGTACCGGCCGCTGTATAATTTTAGGACAGCCTAAGTTGATAACGAAGATTGGACAACCCTTTGATGTGCTTCGTGGTTCGTCGCTGTGGAGTCTCGGGCGGTGCGAGGTCTTGCTTGTGCCAGGGCTGCCAGACCTGGATTGCGTATTCCACATAAGGCCGCACGTAGATGTTAGGCAAATGCGGACAGACAGAGGGATCAAACCGCCAAAATTCCCTGCGCAGCATGTCAACATGCTGGTTTCCATTTTTTTAACGCCTTCTCAGATCGTTCGGAGCAATCCAGATCAGCCTGGACTAGTACTCCAAGGTCGCGCTCCTAGATGACTGCTTGCAGAACATGGCCTCCAAGCTAGTGTGTGATGTTCGGCTGGTGGCGAATGTGAACCACCTTTCACTTCACCGAACTGAAATGGAGCAGATTGTGGAGTGACCACCCATAGGCTCTGTCCAGGACTCGCTGAAGTGCATCGTGATCTGCTGGGTCGGCGATCGTCCGCCACATCCTAATATCGTCAGCGAACAGCAAGATATCTGAGGCAATCAAACGCATAAGCTGGTTAATGAACACGAGAAACAGATGCGGCCGCAGAATTGATCCTTGTGGAACTCCACATTCGACATAAATCGGATCGGACAACGCACTTCAAACTCTGACCTGCAGTTGCCGATCCTGCAGCAAATTCATGATCCACTCAAGGACAGGATCCCCAAATCCATAGTTTTCGAGCCTGTGAAGCAGAATGCGGTGGTGCAGTCCGTCGAAGTCATTGGAGAAGTTGAGATAAATGGCGTCTGTCCCCTACCTTCATCGGCCGCCCCTGTCTAACTACTGCGTGCAATCAGTAGGTTGGTAGTGCATGAACGGTTCTGGTGGAAACCGTGTTGCTCGGGTGCTATGATGTTGTGGCGTTCTAGATGGTCTACTAAAAGCCTCAACGATGATTGCCTCCATCACCACTGAGAGTGCACAGGTTGGCGGGTTCCGAGCGATTCCCGCTTTTGAAAATTGGAGTGATTACGCCATGATTCCACACGGTAAGCACAATTTGCTTATCCAAGCACGATGGAAGAAATGCGATAATGGCCCGGCCAGCGTTGTTGCTGCTACGTTCAGCGCCCTCAGGTGAATATTATCGATTCCGGGAGAGCTGTAGGTGCGTAGTCCATCGTGCTGAGACTGGACCTTAACGTGGGGCGATGGTTTATGTGCCTCAATGATCCAATAATCTATGCTGGATGGTGTTTTTTGCACCTTCAGAGCCACTCATACCAGATTGGTCAATGGTTAGAGATCAGACAAACTCAGTCTCCTGGCCTTCCAGGTTGGGGGTTGGAGTGAGGGTGGTTCCTTACTCCATAAAACGGGCTCTCTGTAGTCCAGTGCCAAAACCCTGCTGCCTTGCGGTAAGGTTTTCGAACCAAATGCTTTGGTTGATAACCCTAATCGTTTTCCTGTCTTGGCCTGAGCAACCTGACAGTATCCTGTCCACGCAATACACCATGACTCTTCCTTCTAACAATCTCTTGATGTTCTGGCCGTCGCAGAGGATAATAACTGGCGCCCTATCTTCTGCATCGAGCAGAGTGGATGGGAGTTTGGATGCTACTGCCCAGGCCTTCCCGTCTTCTTATTCCCCCTCTTGCGCTTTTTCATCCTTAACGTCCCGCTCCAATTTCACCTTTTACCCCCCGTTTTCAATCCTCCAATTCTTGTCCCTCCCCCACCTTATTTTAGTAATAGGTTACCTTCTAGTTTGGACTCACGCGCAATCGAAGGGCGTCGCTCCAATCCAATCGACAAGTCCATGTCCAACCAAGTAGACAGCGTCAGCTCATCCTTTTCTCTTTGGGGTCCTTGATCCTTACTAAGACTGGCATGCCTCAACGTGCGCACTTTGCTACAGGTTTGCGAATACGCAGCACTTGCCCGCACACTAGAGACCCTGTCAATCGATATTTGCTGTCTATCAGAAACCCACCTGCAAGATTCGAGCTCCGTGGTTACCCTGCGATCCGCCACATGAGACACTGGCGGCACATTCACATCGCGCCTCTCTGGCGATGATGCAGCTTCAAATGCCGGTCAAGCTGGCGTCGGCATTGTTTTGAGTCCCCGGCCTGAAACTGTCCTGATCGACTAGATCCTAGTCAACAGCCGGATGTGCGCCGTTAAATTACCTGGCTCGTTCCATGCTACGAAGTCGCGCGGGAACAAACGGTGGCTGTTTAGCATTACAGTTTACGCCCCCAGAAACTGCAGCTCGGATTCGTTACAGAAGAAGCACGGGTATTGTGGTGCTTGATGATGATGTAAACACCCAAGTCGGAAAATTGTCCTCCGATGATCTTCATTTGGGCGACCAACATGGTGTAGGCTCCCGTAATGATAACGATGAGTGGTTGCTACAGCTGTGTGGAGATGCAGGTCTCTTTCTCGCAAGCACAAACTTTCAACATAGCACCTGCAGAAGAGTGACTTGGCCCCCACCAGCCATGGACGCAAATCGATCACATGGCGATCAGTTACCGCTGGAGAGGCTGTGTCCAAAACTGTCGCTCGATTTGGAGCACCAGCGTGGACTCCGATCACGCTCTTGTGTGTGTCGACCTTCGGGTGCGTTTCGGCGGACGTCCGCAACGTCGCTCTGAGCGCATTGATACCAACCAACTAGCGAAGCCAGGTATTCTGAATGCGTATCAAAGTGCGCTGACATCCGGGCTGAGTAAGCGCCCACTGAACACCGTTGAAGATCACTGGTCGCATATTCGTAAAACGATACTGTTAGCAGGCATGTCTTCATGTGGCAAATCAAATTTCCAACCTAGATATTGGGACTCTACAAAGTTTGAACAACGAAATGAGAAGACGAATACTGGCAGATGCTAGCATTTCGTATTATCTCGTCAGTACCAATACAATAACAGGGAAATTCTTTTATATGTCTTACAGGGCACAGGCAAACCAATCAAATTTATTGTTGTGATCATTGTTATCAGATTACGTCCACGGCAACCGCAGGTTGACAACTAATTGCTTTTGGACACACAAAGCTGGTCTAATTCGGCTTATCGCGACGGCCTCGGCAAATCGTAAAAGGCGTGCATTAGTATGACGTAACAAGATCCGGAAAGCTGATAAGGGATTGACCTGGTGACGAGTCCCCAAGATGTGCCTGCCTATGGAGGACGCTGGCGGCTTACGCGAACACGTATCATCGGAGGTGGATTGGGTAACTTCACGCTGAACCCAGTTTGGTAGGTGTTCCTTCACTCGGGAATCTAAAACCCGTTCGGTCCTGCCGATGTAACTGATACCGCAGTCACACACGAATTGGTAGACACAATGGGATTTGGCGCCGACGGGTTCATCTTCCTTTACTGAAGGTAACGGCAACTTTCGGGTTCTGTTGATAATTACCGCCTCCGCAGCACAGTATGTACGCTGAATGGCCGAGACAATCCGTTTGGTTATTCTTTTCGTTGCATTGTCACCCTTGAATGGGAGCTCAATGTACACATTCTTCTTAGGGGCTGTCAACACCATCTCCTTGGGCGGTCTAACTTCGCTATGTTTGTCTATGAATCGCTTTGGGTAGCCATTCTCCATAAGTGTCTTAGTGATCAGCTCTAACTCTTCAGGCAGGCAGTCGTTGGAGCAGATACGTCTGGCCCGAGTGAATAATGTTTTTACTAGCGCGCGCTTGTGTGCCATCGGTGAGAAGCTAGTGAAGTGTAGATATTGGCCGGACCACGTTGGTTTCCGGTATACAGATCGCTTAATCAGCCCATTATCCCTGCCCATTATCTCTGCAAAGTCTCTGGAACTTATGGATGCTGGCCGATATATTCCAGCTGGAAGCGAATACAGTGAGACTCGCAAAAATCTCAGGACAAAACTTTGTGCTAGCCTAAAGAGAAACCGCGAGGCCTGGTGGTCTGATCGTGTATCGGAAATGAAAACA